TAGGACCCCATTGGGCAAACGCATGTCAGAAAAGGAATTTGTTCACTGTTCAAGTGATTTTTCACCCTTTTTCTTTCCAGTAATGCTAACAAAACAAAGAAGGTGATGGGCAGGCTAAAGGGCCATCCCACCGGGCAGACTGCTCCGCTATTTGAAGCTGCAGGATGCTCAGAACCATCCATGAAGTCCCATTTCCAGGACTATTTTCAGCACCCAGGAGAAAGCAAAGGGCCCGAAGGCCAAATCTTGCTATCTTAAAATGATGGTTATTATTCGCCTCTGTTTGCCACGGCTGGTATTTTTTAGCCCTGAAAAAGCCTGCTGTGGAGGTGTTTGATGCCTTCCCCCCGTGGCCCTCCCTTCCAGCTGGATGAGGGGTGTCTGCCCCTTCCCCGAATGTCACAAATCCTCTGTTAAAAGAGGAAATGAAATGTCACCTCTCCGGCAGCCTCAAATCTCAGAGATGCTGGAGCTGGGGTTCCTCCCCAGCAAAGGTGCCCGGCCCTGGCACAAGGCTGTGGCTCCTGAGTGACCCCATGGGCACTAGATTCCCCTAGATCCCCTCGGGATCCCCCCAACCCGAGCCTTGCTTTTCCACGTCACCCTTAGCAGAGGGGGTCAGCCCCTTCATCAAAACAAAACTGGTCGCACAGACTGTGCTCTCGTTCAGTTTGTACCGCAGCTTGTAGGAAAAGGAGTTTAGCTCTAGGATTTGGAGAGCGCCTGTTAAATTATTAACCCTTTTAGACGGAATACTCATTCTAGAAGAAGCATCTGTGCTATGGGCGCCGGGTGGCCACCTCCCCTTCTGGTCAGACCTGGTCAGAGCAGCTCTCCCCTTCCCTGCCGCGTCTTGGCTCAAAACCAAAGGTGGAGGGAATCCTCACATCGGGACGGGCCACTCAGGCGAAGCCAGCCACTCCGTCTAGCCCAGCTGCCCTGTGAGTGCCTCGAAGTGCATAAAATGTGAGTTAACCCCGTCTCTCTCTTCAGATCCCGCCACCCTCCCCATTTAGCAAATGCCTACCAGCCCGGGGCAAGATGTCACTTAAAATGCACCTGCTCTCAGAGGTGCCCCGGGTGGCTCAGTTGGTTAAGCCTCTGGCTTCGGCTCAAGTCATGATCTTGTGGTTCATGAGTTCGAGCCCTGCATCAGGCTCTCTGCTCTCAACACAGAGCCTGCTTCAGGTGCTCTACCCCTCTTTCTCTTACTCTCTCTCTCTCAAAAATACATAAACATTTAAAAAACAAAACTCCTGTTCTTCTTTACCTGGGCCCTGCAACAACAGTTGCCAACGGCTTCTCCTTCCCAGAAAGCCAAAAGCATGTCTCTCATGTAAATACCTGAGCAGCTAACAGAATGTCAGTGACAGCTTAACAATTTCAACGAAGCTGCACTTCTTTCCAACACTGAAAGCTCTTTCTGTGTGCATTTTCTAATTACGAAAAAATGATACATGCTTGTAGAAAAAAAAAAAACCAATTCAAAGAGTACAGCAATAAGTAAAGGAGAAAGAAAACATTCCATAAACCCCCCCCACCTCCAAAGACAACTAGAGTAAATATTTTAGTGTCAATCCTTCCAGAATTTTCTCTGCGTGTGCCCATTGTTTTTAAGTAAACTGACAAGAAGACATATTGAAAGCTTTTCTTTTTTGACTGTAGTGAAAACTTTGAAACAACGTAAATGCCTGTCAGTAAGAAAATAGTGAATTAAATTCTGGGGCATGTGCGCAGCGGAATCCCTCACGGTTGCCAGGAGGAAGAGACAGATGCCTGTCCCCCGACAAGGAAAGATGTCCACAGTATACGGTTCAGTGAGAAGAGCAAGTTGTAGAACAATCGTGTTTCGAAGTTTAAGCATTTGCCTGTGTCCAGTGTATTTGCACATTCTTCAGACCTCCATTGATCATGTCTCCTCCTTTTACTTCTTTTTGTAAAGTTTTTTTTTCAAATGTTTATTTATTGGAGAGAGAAAGAGAGCAGGGGAGAGGCAGAGAGAGAGAGAGAGAGGATCCCAAGCAGGCTCTATGCTGTCAGCACAGAGCCCGATGCGGGCCTCGAACCTACGAACCCTGAGATCATGACCTGAGCTGAAACCGAGAGTGGGAAGCTTAACTGACTGAGCCACCCAGGTGGCCCTTTTTAAATTTTTTTTTTAAATAAACATCTGTATATAAGAGACAGAGAGAGAGAGCGCGCGCAAGCAGGGAAGGGGTAGAGAGAGAAGGAGAGAGAGAATCCCAAGCAGGCTCCAAGCTGTCAGGGGAGAGCCCACCTCAGTTTTCGCTTATTTATATTTGGGTGAATATGCGGCTGCCGAAGATCAATCTGTCGGAGGCCTGGGGCGCTCGTTCTCTGGGAAGTTTCCCTGCAGTTCCGCGGCCCCCTTCCCACAGACCAGCTCTGGACCACCAGCACCCTCCCCTCTGGTGAAGTTCTCCCACATAACAGGTTGACCCTCTGGCCCAAGACCAGCCCGCCCCCACCTGCTAAGGAGCCCCTCCTGCCTCCCAGCTCCTAAAACTCCGGCCTGAGCCCTCGGGCAGATTCATTCACCACCACCAGCCTGCGAACTCTGTCCCACCTGGGAGAAGTTCCACGGGCTTCCCTCCCTCCTCGAATGACAAAACCAGGTGGGCCTCTATTTGCTCCTGTTTCAACAACTCTTTCTCAGGAGACAGTCATGTTACTTGGTTCTTTTTTGAACCAGTTAGAACATCCGTCTGGTCTCCTCGTGTGTTGAATAAAATCTGTAGCCCGTGTTCATTTTTATATCTGTATGACAGCCAAGATTTTTTTCTCCCCCCCCCCACCAAAAATCTTTAATGGTAACGATCAGTTATTCAAAGAATACAGCCAGATGAGCCAAGTATATTTGCTTCCTAGTGGTGCCGTAAAAAGTTACCACAGCTTTTTTTACACTGCCACAGTAAAGGTAGTGGCTTACAAAAGCAAAAGTCCAAAACTCAAGATGGTGTGCAGGGAAGGCTGGTTTCTCCTGGGGGCTCCGGGAGAGAGTGGGTACCTGTCTCTTCCAGTTTCCAAACACCGCTGGCATCCCTTGGCTTACGGCCACATGACCACGACCTCTGTTTCCATCTTCTCACTGTTTTTACCTCTCTCTCTCACTGAACCCTCTAGCACCCTTCCCACCGTCGAGCTCACCCAAATAATCCAGCATGATGTTCCCATCTCAAGTCCATAATTACTAAGGCCCTGTGGGGAGCACCTGGGTGGTTCATTTGGTTAAGCATCTGACTTCGGCTCGGGTCATGATCTCACGGTTCGTGAGTTCGAGCCCCGCATCGGGCTCCGTGCTGACAGCTCGGAGCCTGGAGCCGGCTTCAGATTCTGTGTCTCCCTCTCTCTCTGCCCCTCCCATGCTCACGTGCTCTCTCTCTCTCTCTCTCTCTCTCTGTCTCTCAAAAATAAACATTAAAAAAATAAATAAAATAAAAACTAAGGCCCTTTGGCCATATAAGGTACATTCACTGTTTCCAGAAATGGTGGAGGCGGGGGGCACATTATTCAAGAAATGTAGGAAGAGAAGAAACTAGAAAAACAAAGAAAATATACAGGGCTAGAATCCTACTAAGGCTTTTCGTCAAAGGCTTAAAAAATGCTGTGAATAAAAGAATGATCAAACACATTACAATACATACATATGTCATTGAAATACTATGCAGCGGTTATGACAAACGAGTTAGGTCAGCCTGTGTTAGCATTACATGTCACGACACGGCAAGATTTTCAAGATACGGTCACTGGAAAAAGCAACGCTGTGTAGGTGAGTAGATGGGCTCTAGATACACCACAAACTAATATGCATGGTCATCCCTGGAGGGGAAGGTGGGATCGAGTGGGGACATGGGGGGACTTTTCATTTTCTATCTGTGCACTTGGGAATTCCTTGAGTATTTGCAATATTATATTTGCATTATGTGTAATTTTTCCAAGATCACAGTAATGAAAGCATCAAAGACGATCCAGAGGGGGCGAAATGGCCTTCCCTTCCCCTCCCGGCTGCATCAGAGAGCAGGTACGGCCCCCTCCCGCGCTGACCAGATGTACGGGAAGGACAGACAGACACGGGCAGCGTCTCCCAAGAGGTAAGCGTGTGTTCACTCATTTCCCAGGCCACAAGGAACCCCTGGTAGGAAGCTCTCCTTTAGGCTCCATTTCTCATACCTCTTTTCTTCTGCAGGCAAACTCTGAACCGCCCAGGCCGCCCAGGCCCCCCAGCCCGCCGTCCTAACATTCCGTGGTGTTCGCCTGGATGGTTTCCTCCTTTGATGCCCCGCCACCGTCAGCCTGGTTCTAATTAGCAGCCGGCACGTAACACAAAGGCGAGTTTCCACAAGCAGCCTGCTCCCCTCTTATTATGTTAATAATGAAGCTATTCCCCGTGGTACCTTGGGATGGCGTATCTGATAAGCAGCGGCAGCATGACTGCGTGTTCCAGACATTCGTGCTGCATAAACAGAGCAAGCGGAGGCGGAAGCAGCTCCGACACAGCCTTCACACGCATACAAATTGGTGGCAACTGCCATCTAAAGGCCCGATGTGTCCGTTCGGCACACTGCTCTCGCTCAAACATCCAAGACTAACGTGTTGCCTGAATGGGATCCGGATTCGATGATCCCCTCTGCACCTGAGGCACGAGGACAGCAGAAGCCAGAAAGCTGGCTTCCATGTCCCTCGACCTACTTCAGGGACCCTAGTGCTGTCGAGTGCTTTGGAGGGCAGCAGCCTCCGGTCCCTCTTCGAACCCACACACAAGGCGCTGGTCTGAACCAGCGTTTACATTTACGGAGTACCACGGGCTGTAGCAGGTGCCAAATGAAACATCAGTCTTTTTTTTTTTTTAAGTTTATTTATTTTGAGAGAGAGAGAGAAACAAAGTGTGAGTCGGGGAGGGGCAGAGAGAGGGGGGGGAGGAGAGAGAGCATTCCAAGCAGACTCCACCCAGTCAGCACAGAGCCAGATGCTGGGTTCCAACTCCCAAACCGTGAGATCATGATCTGAGCCACTATCAAGGGTCGGAACGCTGAACGGACTGAGCCACCCAGGTGCCCCAACACATCCGTCACTGTACTTCACCTCAGTGATGGCCAAGATTCCTTCTCAAGGCCGAAGACCCACTTATAGATGAAAACGCTGTCGTGGGCCCCTAAGGGAGAAAAGATCCCTTTTTAGCACTTATTGATTTTAAAAATATACAATGAAAAACTCAATTCAGCAACTCTGAGTAAATGTGCATCTTATTGTCAAAACGGTATTTACATATATTTGAAAATCTTTACACGTCTACTTTTGAAGCTTATTATTATGAAATAAATGTTTGTGTTTCCCCTGGCCCCAGAAAATTCATATGTTGAAACCCTCCTTCCCCAGGATGAAGGTATTAGGAGGTGAGGCCTTTGGGGTGATTAGGGCGTGAGGGTGGGGCCCCCATGAATGGGGTTATTACCTGAAAAAAAAGAGACCCCACAGAGCTCCCTAGCCCTTGCCACCTTGTTAGGACAGGAGAAGTGTGCAATCTGCAACCCGGAAGAGGAAGCTTACCAGAACCCCGTCGTGCTGATACTGATCTTGGACTTCCAGCATCCCAAATATAAGAAATACATTTCTGTTGTTTATGGGCACCCAGCCTATGTACTTTGTTATAGCTGCCCAAACAGACTAAGGCACTTACTTATCCACTCCGCAGACAACAGATCCAAGGATCTCTTGCAATGTTTCCTTAGCCATTGCTCCGAGGAGTTCTCAGTCCATAACTTAGGAATCACTACTGTAGAGTAGGCCAAAGAGAAAGCGGCCTTGTTTTTGCCCTAAAGATCTTAACATTTTTAAAACTACTAGAGGAAAGAGTTTCAAGTGAAGCCTATAGCGGATCAGAGGGAGAGAGTAGACATAAGCCTAGAAGAGGCCATAGCAGTGGGGGTGGAGAGAGAGAAAACAGAATGGGCAAGACAGTAAAGGGGGAGACCCTAGAGATGTCGGTGACCACCTGAATGCAAGAGAGAGAGTCTCACCCAGACACCATGGTTCCTGGCTCCTCTATGGGCTAAATAACAGAGCCGTTCACCAAAACAGGGCTGGAGGAGTGGGTCTCAATGTCTCCCTGGGCATCTCTGCCTCTCGGCTCTCCCTCCTCACAAATGAGACAATATCCTGAGTGCTCTTGCAGCCACAGTGGAAGACCCACTTCACGATCACCGAATGAGTCCATTTCAACTCCCTTCTGTTTACACCCAGGGAATCACAGCTTATCACAGAATCCGGGAAGGAAACCTCTTCCTGTGAAGCCTCCTGTCAAAGATAATTTGGAGATGCACATTCAGTCCAGGGACTGCCCCATTCTCTGATTTCTAGCAAGGCCAATGTCTTATTTGTACCTGAAGAACGACAAAGACTTCTCTCCAAGTACTTTGCTTTACTGTTTGCTCCATTGCTTGGAGGCTGAAGAAAAGAGGGCCGGGGAGATGATCATAACGCCAGAATATCAGCTTGCAAACTCCACTGGCTGTCCCAGACATAAATAATTGTATATATACATATTTTAATGGAACAGCATGTGTGGTGCTCTTAACTCCTGCCAGGCGCTGGGCTACACGGGTTTACATTCACTTCCTCCTTGGAGAAACCTTCAGGACCATCCAGTGTAGAAGTAGCCCACCTCTCCCAACTTACTCTTCACGCGTCTATGAGTTTTATTTTCTTCATACTACTGCTCACTCTCTGTAATGACCTCCTGTCCTGACTCCTTTATGTATCATATGCGGCTACCCTCCAGTTGGTAACCACGGTAACCAAAGGCAGAATTTGTTGGCTCATTAACCCCTCTATTCCCAGCGCCTAGAAAAGTGCCTGGCACCCCATAGGCACCTTCTTTCTTCATCTATCTAATGAATGATTCCATTTAAACTTTGTCACAACAAATGGGGTACTAACTTGACTTTTCCGAATGTGGACACTGAAGATAAAAAAAATTTTAAAAAAAAAAAAAAAAAAAAAACCTTGACCAAATTTACACGGCTACTAAGGGGTGGTTAGGATTCACACCCAACTCACATTGGTCTTCTAGCTGGAGCTCTTAGGACAATGCTGCCTGTATGCCTAACTTTGAGCAGTGACTCATTATTGGGGCAGAGATGAGGGTAGACAGCTCAGCGTACCCCATCATGGCTCCTGAAAGAGAAAGGGCTCCTAGGGTATCAGCAGCATTATCTTGTTCTATAAAGGGCAGCTTATTCAAGGCAGGCCCTTAGAGCTGTCTGTAAGTATTACACAGGAAGACCTTTAGAATCAATACAAAAGTTCACCCAGCACGTCTCTCTCTCCCCAAATCAAACACGGATGTCCCAGTGGATGTGGACAAAGGCTTGCAAACCTAGATGCCCAAAATGGCAACTGGAAGGATGTATAGGAAGAAAAGCCTACCTAGGGGAAAAGAAAAGTGTTATTGATCACTCTTGATCCTTAGGACTTTTTAGCCGCAGCTGGGAGGACCACCGTGTTCTCTCCCACGGGCTGACTACTGGATTCTGCACCCACCCAGTTCGTGAGGTTGGTAACTCTCACGGAGGCGGGAGAGATGGACCGCAGAGCAACCCTGTTACTTCAAGGTTCCTATCTCTTCAGATTTGTACGTAGCAAGGGCAAATACCTTCATTTCAGCCAAAACCATTAGTGTGTTCAGGCTTGTTTCCTCTGACAATGAAGAGAAGGTACAGGTGAGAGAGTTGGATAGAAAAAACATACATCTGCACGTGTACTTGTATGTGTAAGTGTGTGTGTTCACATGGTCAGTTGATAGTAGCTTGAGTGGAGTCGCTGCAATACACAAGCTGAGCTTGGGCACAAATTATATTGGAATTGCTCGCTGCTACTGACTTCAAGCTGCTTTCAGATTGCTACCTTGGGCATAGGATGCGAGCAGGAAATAAGCTGCCCATTTGGAAAAGAAGAAAAATAAGCAGTTACCCTTTAATGGCCATATCTAGCAAGTGAGTCCTTTTATACTACCTGTTTGGCAAGAGTAGAACAATATCTTAATGAGACTTTCCTCTTCATCCTCCACCCACCCCACCCCTAACCAAAGAAAAAGCCTCAAAAATCAAACCTGTCTCCAAACTGCTCAAGTTTGAGGTTGACAAGTGAACGCAGACCAGAACACAGGTGCACTAGTCCCTCCTTACAGCAGGAGAAGCTCTGATTGATCAGTCAATCCCAAACCCTATTTATAGATCACTCAACTGCGTCTGCCTGGCTGAAGGTGTTATTATAAAGGCACACACCTAGATAGCTTTAAAAGGGGAAAAAAATGGGGATACCCATACAGTTTCTAAATGCTTCTGGCATAGAGCTGAGTGAATGATGGTTCCTTCTTTGGGTTCTGAAGTTCTCATAGCACAGAACTGAATACGCCTTAAGAAAATAAAAAAGAAAGGAGGGAAGGAGGGGAAAGAAGGAAGGAAGGAAGGAAGGAAGGAAGGAAGGAAGGAAGGAAAGAAGGAAAGAAAGAAGGGAGAGAGGAAAGAAAGAAGAAAGAAAGAAAGAAGGAAAAGAAGGAAGGGAGAGAAGAAGGAAGGATCCAACCAAACAAGAATCAAGTCAGGGGCTTCAACTTCTAACCTGCAAGCATGTGGACAGCAAAAGGAAGAGAGAGGGCAGAAGAGAAGGGGGAGGGCAATAAGATCCAAATTAAAAGGCAGCATGTAAGTGATAATGATAGCTTTGGGCAGCGAGACAGGATTAATCAGGGGGATTTGAGTAAATTCAGCAGGACAGTTTGCCATTACCGTGCTGAAGCCCTTGATATTTATCAATCAAATGGAGTCACAAATGGAATCTTGGAATAAGCAGGTCTGAAATGCGGGTTAATGAATCCCCCTGTGGACATGATAACCTTCATCCCTGATGTTATGACGAGTGGGGGCTTTCCCGGAAGTGCTCCGCAGTCTAGGAAGAGGCAAACAAGTGATAGCGAATCATAACTAAGTGACCAATACACCTCGGGTCCCAAAGCTTTGCACCTAACCTAAAAGAGGCTCTAGCTCAAGGAAAACTAGACCCCTAGGTGTTATGTTCTGCAGCTCAGTTGGCAACCTCCTCCAGGGCTCAGGGGTCACTGTGGGGTGTGAGAGATTAAAGATCACGGAAGTTTCAGGATGGGGGGGGGGGTGGCGTTCGTGCTCTATGAGGAAGGTTCTGACTGCTGTAAACGAAGCCAGGTGTTTGGAAACTTAGTAAGTGTTTATGGAAATCAGGAAGGGGGCTGGGGGCCCATCAGCAGAGAACTCAGGCAGCTAACCACGCAGATCTCACGGTAAATTGGGAAGGCAGTTTCATTCCCACTAGGTTAAATTGAACTTGAAATTGGGAAGTCATGTTCCTTTCCAAAGGCTAGTTTTCCCTGTGAGACACTGTCATTAAGGGGAGGGAAGCAGTCTGGGAATCTTCAATCCTCTATGATCTGGGGCTTAAAGGGTCACTCCAGCCTTTCAGAACTGAGGGCAGGGGGGCCACAATAGTGAGGAAGCAGGGGAGTAGAATATGGGATTTTTAGTCTAATTCTGAATTGACATACGGTCAGTTAAGAAAATGGCCTGTGTAGTGGAATGTGAAATTCATGAGAATTATCGACCGTATTCATAAGGGTGGCTAAAAAGTGATTAAGTCTGCCACCATATTTAACTATGATGCCTTAAAAAGAGGAGGCACTTAAATGCCTTTGTGGATATTTTCATTTATAGGGTTTCAGAATATTAGTGGTTTGCATTACTCACTTGATAACATCAGCTTTAAAATATGTACATTAAGAATACACACCTAATGCTAAAATCTGTATTGCTTATATATTGCTGTAGCAGCTTAAACTAACAATAAACATTTATCTGGGGTCTCTCGTGAAAGTCAGAGGCAAGCTGCCAGCCAGGGTCTCGGTCATCTGAAAGCTTGACTGGGCTAGGAGAATCCGCTTCCAAGATGGTCCACTCACACAGCTGACGAGTCAATGCTGGTTGTTGGTAGGAGGCCTCAGTTCCTCACCATGTGGACCTCCTTATAGGACTACTCTAGTGTCCTCACAATATGGCGACTGGCTCCCCCAGATGCCTATAATAGGACATGACTATATTTCCTTAAATAAAGTAGATATGTGTTCTCTCACTTATAAAAGTCCTAAGGTAGGTGGTATGTGATTGGCATAGTGCTACATAAAGTCATCAGGTGCCTTGGATTCTGTCCCCCCATCCTTATTACAAGACCTGAAGGTTGCCTCCTCTGTCAATATGGAGATCTACTAGAGATCCAGCCAACTGTCCACAATCAAACAGGAAGTAGAAGTTAGAAGAGAAAGGCAGGGGCGCCTGGGTGGCGCAGTCGGTTAAGCGTCCGACTTCAGCCAGGTCACGATCTCGTGGTCCGTGAGTTCGAGCCCCGCGTCAGGTTCTGGGCTGATGGCTCCGAGCCTGGAGCCTGTTTCTCTCTCTCTGCCCCTCCCCCGTTCATGCTCTGTCTCTCTCTGTCCCAAAAATAAATAAACGTTGAAAAAAAAAATTTAGAAGAGAAAGGCAAAAAAAATGAGCCCATACCAACCGTCTGCCTCACAGTTCTGGTTTCCAGAGTGTCTGCCCAATAACCTCTGTTTCCACCTCATTAGCCAGAATGGTCACCTGAAGTTGTAATGGGAGCTGAGAAATTTGCATCTAGGGCAAACATATCGCCACGCCAACGAAAATCAGCCTTGATAGCCAAGGAAGAAAGAGAAAATGGACGTTGGGTCAGGAACAAACAGGTCCTGTCTTATCTGTTTTGCAGAGATCCCAGGAAGTTGTGCTATGCCAGAGATCCCCCATAATATTTTCACAAATTGGCACATATGTTTAAAAAGGTCAGAGTAGGGAAGCATGGAGAAAATTGGTGGGTGAGAAGTAGAACAGAAGAGATGCCTCATCTTCGGTAAAAGCATAAATTATCCTGGGAATGGTCTTACTGTAAGGATCAGACGGTTGCCATGTTCCCTAAAGGGTTTTAATGGTTCCAAGAAATGAACTGGAAAGGACAGGTGCTTTGTAGCACTAGCCCACCATGACTGGATTGTCTCTTTCCAGTGCGACTGGGGACCCACTGGAACATTAGGCTGAAATCCAAGGCTGTTTTTGCATTCTCTCTCCCTGACATTTACAGTAAAAAGCTGAATTCTCTGCCTGGTAAACTGCGAGGCACTATCAATAGTGGGTGTTGGAAAATGATGCAGAAACAAACGGCACATTATTTATGCCAGTGGAAACAGTAAATCACCCTTCCTTTGCACGTAAACAGCACAGCAAGTGCAAATCAAAAGTTCTCACACCTCAGAAGGAGAATAATCCACGAGCTTCTCAGAGGAAGGAATTACCTACCTGCCTATACGGTGCAATAAATGTCCCTTTTAAAATGAAATAATTTCTGAGCTCCTCAGCACAAGACTTACGGTGAAAAAGACAGCACCAATATTAAAATTTAATATACCCAATATTGTCATGTAACAATAAATCAACTAGTAAAAAGCAGCAAGAATTTTTTTCTCCACTCCTAAAAAGAGTTACAGCGCCTTAATTTGAATGGATGTTGGGTTACGATTATGGGTTACGATGGTGAAAGGTATGAATTCGTGTCTCTACAGCAATCAGATGGGGTTGCACAGAGCAGTTTATATAATATGCAGTGTCCTGCTCTGTCAATGTCATCGAGTATCCGCTTCTCTTATTAATTCAATGGACTATA